GAACGGAATCAAATGGGAATTACTTCCTACGAGTGTACGCGGGTCCTGGTTGTTCTTTCCAGGGCTTACGACACGGCGGTCCGCGAAAAGCGCGTGGCCTTTGATCAAGTCCAAGCTCCAGGATCTCCGTCCAGCCATCCAATACCCCTTTGTGCCTTCGAGACACATCTCGAACATCCTTGAAAAAGAGAAAATTTGGGAACCCTTTTAATCTCATCTCCTTCCTCATAGCTAACAAGGTCAGACCCACTCCATATTGTGAGGAGTGGGTAATAATTCTGTGCACCTGGCACTTAACCGCAGCTTTCTTGTGCTGTTCCGGACCAAAAGACCAGTATTCCATGGACTTTTGAAATACAGACCTGGGTTCAATTCCCATCGGGAATCGAACGGAACTTAAAAAAAAAATGGACCATTTCTCAATTTATGTGTGTCATCCTTGCGCTACGGCCATGCTCACTCCGACGCAGCTGATCTCAGCCGTGTGATCTTGATGATCATGTGGACAAGATCGGCTGTACCTGCCTGCTTTTTACTTGTGCTCCGGAAAAACTCCACAACCAGGTTGATTGGGAAATTCTGCATTATTATGGACAGAATGGGGGTGGGCCCAGGCTGTAGGAATGTGTCAGGATCCACTGCAATAATGCGTCTGGCAGGTCGCACGTTCTTCACGACAAGGTGACCTCGTAGCTCCTCCCATTTTCTTGTTCATATTGGAGGTTTCTTAAACCACATGTACATTTCACAGGTTCTGACAATTTGTATACGACTGGGTTTTGGGATGAACAGTGCTACCGGAGCTCAAGTAGGGCCAGGAAAAAAAAGAAAGAAAACATGCCTGCGCCAGTTTGTTCCTTTTGGCGCACTGGGGGAATCTGTATCGGGGAAAAGAGGCTCGGAGGTACAGGTGGTTTAATAAAAGATCCTTCAATTGACTGATTGTCAACCCAGGACAGCAGTCCCCTCTGCTTCCCTACCCTCCCGAATGCTTTGATGTTCGCCGACGATCTGACAGTCTTTTTTCATGCCCAACTCCGTGGTCATGGCAGTGGAAGCCTTCAGCCTTGCATCAGAGATGAAAGCAAACTGAACCAGAACTGAAGGCTGGTGGCCAGCAAATGATAATCCGCCTCAACCAATAGGGATCAGATCTCATCTTCCATGGTCCAGAATCGAACAGGCACCGCGTGAACTGAGCATTACGGTTAACAAACAGGGCGTGTGGCCTGGTATGGGCCAAAACCTGATTGCTAAGCCTAAAGCTATTTCAGCACCTGGCACCTTGCAAGAACGCACAGGCCTCACAACTAGGTAGGACACTAATCACCAATACTTTCCACACTCTGGTACCTGTAGTCTATCTCACCCCCCCCTCCCTGGGGAAGATCCGAAATCCCTGAAGACCCGCATCAGACGATCCCAACAGGCATATATGCATCAATAGAGTGGCCTAGCCCTACATCACTAGGAAACCCCACGAAAGAGGGCTCAGGCTGATTGACCCGAAACAAGGAAGCCATAGCCTTACAAATGAAACAGGTTGCTGAACTCCTACACAAACACCACCTCCCCTGGTCCCAATTCGTGCTTGAATATTCTTCCCAAAGATCCCTCTCAACATGACTGTAACCTTTCGGGTGATTTGCAAAAGGGAGTGGATAATAAGAACTTGAAGGACCAAAAGAATCCGGCGACGCACAACAAACGCGCTCCCCCAAGCCTATCATGAAGGAAGTACAATGCCAAGATTGAGGGCAACTCAGAAGGACAGGCTATCTGATACTCATCCTCCCTCAAGACGGAAGGAAGCATGGAGTGGGTATTACTTTTCGACTTGCTGGCCGGACTGGCACTGTCAGTATGGACAAGGAGCCAGGACTGTAAGGACCTGTTTATCAAAAACTTTTATGATCCTGGCCAATTCCGAAGTGCAAATTCTCAAGGAAGTACAATGTCGTCCAATTGCAAAAAGAAATGAATGAACTTGAGAGAGAGAGGTAAAGAAGAAGAAAAAGATGACACCAGCAAAAGACCAATGACAATTCCCCCCTTCTTTGCCAACCGACTCCTCATTCTCTTCCCCTCTTTCAAACAATAAATAATAATAATAACGATGAATGACTGAACCAGAAGCAATGTCCGAATCC